TGAAAAGAAAAGAAAGAATATAGCTGTAAGGTTGAAAACCCGCAAAGGGCGGCCTTGGCAAAAGTTAGAGCACAAAAGGAGAGGTTAAATACCCGAGTGTACCTTAACCCCGAACTACGTAAGGCTTGATTCCCATCTTTGGGATACATAGGCAACTTCATTCCGAAGTCCAGCCGTGAAACACTTTAAAATCAACTGTGTCCATGTAATGGTTTTGATCATCTTTGCCTTCTCTGCATCCGAGAGTTCGGTTGTCATCGTCACTCTGAGGACTGATTACAGTGCTCTGCGATGCTATCCAAACAAGGGGCAACTTTTCGTTGCCATACAGTGTGCCGTGGTGCCATTCAAACAAGGGGCAACTTTCCGTTGCCATGCAGCTCTCTTCAAGCAAGGGACATTTTTCCTTCGGATCTGAGGTTGGACATCCCAAGAGTAGGTTCCGTGCTTGTTGAGCATTGGCCGTTTGCAAAAATAGTTTTTGAGAATTTTTACAGAGGTTGACTAATTTTCTCAAAAAATTATTCCATTTTCCCAAAATCGGACCATTCCTTGGATCCAAAAAAGGAAAATTTTCAGTGCTCATAGCCGGACTTGCATGATTTTAAATCAGAAAATTGAGCAAGTATGTTAATCTGACTCTCATTCTGGTCAAAATTGTTTTAGTAGAAAACCAAAACAAAAAATGGTCAAAATAATGAACTAGGGGCATGATTGAGTCAAGCTTCCTGTCTTTTCCCTGTTGTCAATGCATTTGCCAGAAAGGGCACCATACGTGCCAAGAAGGACACTCTACCTGTCGGAAAAAGGCACCACTGAAGCTGACCACAAAGGGGTTGAAAGCTCTCATATCCTCCGAGCAGCGAGGTATCAAGCCAAGTGCGAAGCACGAACTGGAATGGGGCAAGATATTCCACTCCATCGTCTGGACAGATCTGATCACGTCCAAACTCCCCAGCAAAGCATCATCAACCGATGTCAGTTGCAGATTTGCTACACACCCAGTCTTAGTGCAACCCCTCTGTGGGAGGAACTCACTGGCTGTGAGCGAAACAAAAAGAATCTAGCAGCAAGCTAGGGACAAGAGCCCGCAATTTCTTGTTTATCCATCAACCACCCGGGGGAGGGATAAAAAAAAAAGAAAAAAAAAAAAGAGAGAGATTGAAGAATAGAGAGATGTGCGCTGAGAGAAAAAGTGAGGAAAAGGACTTTTTCAGAAAAATAGAGCTTGAGGGCCGAGTGATGTGAGAATCACAAATGAGAAAGGGTGGGAAACAATACCCAGAGAAGCAGGCTCCCTGTGCACGTCTGAGTGTCGTGTCTTTTTGTTTTATCTTGATTCTTGTCTTGAGTCGTTTTTGAGTGTCTGTGTTTGTGTTTAGGTTGTTTACCTTTTGTTTTCCGTTGTTGAGTCGTAGTGCGCTATGTTCAGTCGTAAGCTCAATACCCGGTCGAGAACTCATTTATCAATAAAATCGTTTTGTGCTCAGAGTGCCGTGGTGTTCTCCACATCTATGCAAAACAAGATTTGTTCTTTCATAAAAACCGCAGGGTTCAACCCAGGTCATGTGGGAACAATAAAACCAGGACCTATCTGAAGCTATATGGGTTCCATACTGCAAAGCAAAAGAAAAGAGGAAATGTCGAGCATCTGAGTTTGTTTCAACTTCAGTAAGTTCCGAGACTACATTTTGTGTGTACCTCTTCAGGTCTTGCCAATGCTCCGAAGTATGAGTGTGCCTCTACCTCAAGCTCAAGATCAAGTCTTCTTCAAGCCAGAATGGCGATCAAAAGTGCTCTCCCTGAGTACCATTCCCTGTCAGAGGCATCGTGGCCATGTTTGCAATGAGTTCCTAGGAGACCAACCGCGACGGTGGAAACTAGAGTTTGAATGGCTGTTGCCTAGAATGCAAAGGTTCTGGATTTCCGAGACTAAAGTCTGGTTTAAATACCCAGAGGCGTGTCCTCGGCTTGAAATCTGTATGGAAGCCCCATAGGTTGAGATAGCGTGTATGCACCTCAATTCTGGATACTGAACCAACCTAGTCTGTCACCCCGTTGGAGAATAGGGAAAGCTGCGACCTTGGTCAGGAAGAAAAGTAGTACCTGCAGTTCAACTGAGAAGAAGCGGGAGACCCCCAGCAGCATGAGGTAAGTCATTGCCAATACATCCGAAGTGTTCTACATAAAGAATCTTTGTCAGTATTTCAGAGCCTTTGTGCTGTAAGTTGAAGGTAAGTGTTCGAAGAGCACAAGGGAAGATCCCCATCGGAGAAGAGCAGTTCACCGCCACTCACCTCATGAGGTGCTTTCTAAAGCGCTGCTTTGTCCATTTATTGCTTTCCTTAAGCATCATGCATTGTAATGCATTATACCTATCAAGTTTCTTTCTCATTCATGCGCAATATTGTATGTACGGTTCATTCAAAGAAAGTTCTGTTTGAGATCATTTATTTAGTGCATCAATCACACTTTATTCAGTTAGTGTATCAATCACACTTCATTTGTTTAGTGTATCAATCACACCTCATCACACTTCACTTCATTCACTTAGTGTATCAATCACACTTCATTCACTTTTGTGTATCTATCACACACATCCTCATTTTGTGTATCTACCATGCACATATTCACTTTAGTGTATCTATCACACACATTCTCATTTTCTGTATCTATCACACACATTCTCATTTTCTGTATCTATCACACACATTCTCATTTTCTGTATCTATCACACACATTCTCATTTTCTGTATCTATCACACACGTTCACTAAGTGCATCTATCACACTTTGTGTTCACTTTTAGTATATCTATCATACTCTGTTCACATAGTGCATCTATCACACTTTGTGTTCACATTCAGTATATCAATCATACTTTGTTCACTAAGTGCATCTATCACACTTCGTGTTCATTTAGTGTATCCATCACACTCGTTCACTAAGTGCATCTATCACACTTTGTGTTTACTTTCAGTGTATCAATCACACTCTGTTCACTTAGTGCATCTATTACACTTTGTGTCCGCTTTTAGTGTATCAATCACATTTTGTTCACATAGTGCGTCTATCACACTTTGTGTTCACCTTTAGTGTATCAATCACACTCTGTTCACTTAGTGCATCTATCACACTTTGCGTTCACTTTTTGTATATCCATCGTACTTTGCTTCACATAGTGCATCTATCACACTTTGTATTCACTTTTAGTGTCTATCACATGCTCGCTTTGTGTATCTATCATGCTTACTCACTTTGTATATCTATCGTACATGTTTGTGAAGATTTCACAATTTTCAGACTGGCTTCGCGTAGTGTATAAGTTCAATTATCAAAGTCTTCCTGCATATCATTTGCATCCTGCCCCTTGAACTACGCTGGTTTGATTCCTTGAAAAAGGATACGTAGGCAGCCTGCGGGCACAACCATTTATTTATCAGTATTTTGTTTGTTTGTCCAAGTCTTCGGCCTCGTCAAAAATGGGTCGTTTCTAGGCTTTGACATTCACTCACGTCACTTCTTGACTTTCGAGTTCTGTCAAAGAAGGGCAACTGTAGACACCCTATTTTTGACCGCCCTCAAGACTTGGGCGTTACTGATGGTTTACTTGGTGGAGAAAGGTGTGCAAGGGAAAGGTTCAGTTTCTTCGGCGAGGAGAGAGACAAATCTCAACTTCACACCCCATTTTGGGCCAAAGTTATTTTGGATGGTTTTCTTAAAACCTTCTCTTTCAAAACGTTTTTGAAATAAACTTTCTACAATGTTCCGAGGCTCACATTTTGTCAAATGATACGCTTTTCGATAAACCAAGCAAGGACAAAGTGGAAATGAATGAAAGAGAGATGAAATCTTTGAAAAATCTTTCAAAACACTTTGTTTTAGGCTTTGGAGCTGAAGAAAAGAGGAAAGGAGAGAAGAAAACTAGTTCGGGAGAAGTTCGGCATGAATCCGGGTAGAAGAGGGTCGAGCAGCCCTCGCTGAATTAGGCCTATTCATCTACATACTTGGATTTTAGCTATGAGGCCACCACCGTTGGAAATTTTACTTCCGGGGCTTCATTTTGCACTCAAGAATCTCCTAGAGCCAAGTCCGGGTGGGGGAGATATGATTGGTTGAAGTTGGGTATCATCCCGGTTGGATCGAATATGCGCGGCTTCACCAAAATGGGTATAACTTTTTCCACAGGAGGAATTTTATTGCAAGGTTTGCGCCATTGGAAAGTTAACTTCCGGAGCTTCAATCTGGACACCCACCGGCCACTTTTTGACCTTGGAAGCCACCTGTCGGCCATCCATTTAGCCGACTAGCCAGAACAAATAGCAAGCCGGCCATTTTTTGTGCCGACCGGCCATTTATTTGGCCGATGACCTCCTTTCATGGCCGATATGGCCCTTTTGCACCCCTCAAGCATGGTGCATGCCAGCTGTGCCAACTAGAGTGCACAGACCCGTCCCCCCATGCACGGGTGTGGCTATTTTGCACCTTTGACCACCTTTGACCCCTCTTTTTGCACCATTTGCTCAAGGCTTCTTGAGGAAGCCACTACTAGAAATATGACTTTTTGCGTTTATTTTTTTGCCACGGATGATTTAGTGGTCGCAAAAAATCACTTTTTACATTAAAAAAAAAAGAAGACCCGCGTTGTTAAAAAACTATCTCCCCTTTTTCACTTATTTCCCAAATCTCTCTGTATGAACTCTCTCTCTCTCAAAATCTCTCTCACTCGACTCTCTTTTGACTCTCCACCCTCTCTCGCTCGAATCTGACTGGCCACAGTCGAAGCTCTTCATATGCATCGCCATTCTCACACTCTTCGGAGCTTCCAAAGCAAATTAATCAACCACAACACATTGTAGCGATCTTCTTCTTCTTCATCTCTCTCTCTTTCTTCAATCGCCGGAGCTTCCACGGCTGCTTATTCCGCTGTCGGATCAGTCTTCGTCGCCTTCAAATCCGTCGAAATTTCTGCTCATTCTAGCAATTTGAAACTCTCTAATTTCCGACATTGCTCTCCGATTTCAAGCCGAGTCGGATCTATTTAGCTCTGACATAGCCTTAACTCGCATTGCGGATCCCGAAGCTCCTTTGCTTCGTCTGGTAATCATCACTCTATGTTCTGTTTAATGATATCACTAAATGAATTGAATCGAATCAGTTAATTTAATCTATCACCCCTGCTTCTCTCTCTATCTGACTTAGGAAATCTAGGTTTTCAATTTACTCTCTCTCTCTCTCTCTCTCTCTCTCTGTGTGTAGGTATTCGTTCTCTTTGTTTTGGCAAATCCTCTGATCACTGGTCGAAGCTCTCCTTTGGATCACAAGCTTCGAAGTTTGCAAAAAATGTGAGGGATTCACAGCTTCAGGTGCGTCTCTTTCGTTCTTTTTCTTTACATTATTTAGCTTTCTTGTGATATTATTGTGTTTGGTTGCCGAGAAAATGTTGGAAAACGATCTCTTCTTCACATCCACTGAAGCCAAGTATTTTTCGTGAGGTTCAGATTTTAATTTTCTCACATTTTATAAAACACAGGACAGCCAGTATGTGATAATAATATGAGAAGGTTTAGAATATATTGGCTTTCTTCATCGCTTGAATTGTTCAAATTACTTCTCTCTGCAAAATTGTTGAATATGCTGTTCATTTCATGGCTGCTACATGTGCTTTGAATATCAATCAGACATGTTCTATTTAGGAAAGAAAAAATTCTAGATCTAATATTTTTTTAACTCTCGTTTCTGTCATTACAGGTCAAGCCCAAACCTAACTCAGCTAGCGTATAAGGACTTCTGAGATACTTAATGTTGACAGTTATTTCATTGATTTAAGGTTAGACAACGACCTCAATGCCTTCATTTCAAACTAATCGATGCGTGTTTTCTCACTATCTATAACTGAGTTGTAGGATTTTAAATTAGTTTTAGCATGATTGGATTGATTGATTGTGATTAAATTAGTTTTGTGAGCAAGCATTGTTAGGATAGACGTTCTCACTTAGAAGCGTGCTTATGAGATAAGCCATGGGGCACTAATGTTAGTTTGCAAGTCCAAGTTTGATGAAAACTTTCAAAGTTCATGGCTGCTCTAAGATTTCAAGATAAACTATGCTCCTTAGGGTTTTGGGGATTGACTTTTTTTTAATAATTTTTTGATTTTTTATAAAAAAAAAATATGTAGAAAACAGAGAGTAGATTTTTTTTTTATTTTTTATTTTTTGAAGAGAATAGAGGATGGTTAATCATGGAGAAATTATCTGTGTTTATAGATGCATGCCCACATACTTTTTGATCGAACGCTTCTTCATAATTCCCAGCAATGTATTTAATGATTTTGTTTTTTCTATTTTTTCCCTAATTTTTCATTGAATTTTAAGGAATACGCTACTGCACAACTCATTCTTCTTCCATATTATTTATGTATAATCTGATCTATAATTTTATTCTTTTATCGGAGCGAATTCCCGTCTATGGTTACATTCGATAATTTTAGTCAATTATGTGTTTTGCAAAGAATTTGATACTGGTTTTTATGTGATTGATCATATCCAATTTTCTGATTATTGTATATACTGATCATGTTGCTCACTAATGGTGTATAGGCTTCAATACTGTGATGCCCTCTTTAATTTTTCTTGCAGGTTCACTTTGATTTAATACATCAAATATTTCTTCTGCATTGTTCTTCTCTCTTCTTCAAAAAAAATTAAAGATTTCTTGAGCAGAAGTTCAGTGATAAATTTATCTCAACGACCCGAATCAGATGGAAGTGGGTGGCAAACCGGATAAAACAGAATTCACAGAATGCTGGCGGACAAGTTGGAAAACACCATACATAATGCGGCTTGCTCTATCAGCCGGCATTGGAGGGCTCCTATTTGGTTATGACACCGGTAATACAAGGTTTTTCCATTCATTTTTTTCTTTTGGGATGATGGTAACACGAGCTAAGATTGGAAGACTTTTTTTATATTTTTTTATTTTATCTTTTTCCGACTTGACTATCACTCCCACTGCAATCACACTGTTGCATACACATATTACTGAAGTAGCATGAGTTGATATAATACTTTGAATCATGTTACAGTCCAAACCATTTTTGTGTTGTTTAATCACTGAATTTGATGCAGCGGTAATAAGGAAAAAGACTTGATATTGTTCTGGTAGACGAGATTCTTGAATCCACAAGTCGAACAAACTTGATTCCAAAAGGAAAGTAAAAGAATTTTCCACAATCCCAATCAAGGGTCACATCCTTATTTATAGGTCAGAGTCTGGTGTTGGTGCTGGGGCTGGGGCTCGGGCTCGGGCTGGTGGGGCTGGGACTGGGAGGTCGAGGTCTGGGGCTGACACGGAGATGGGGATGGAAATTGGGAGGGCTGGCTCCGGGACTGGGAGGGTTGGAATGGAGTTGGATCTGCTTTTTCATGGTGAAACTTTACGACAATACAGGTGATATTGTCAGCGCTGCCACGTGAGAAAGCAGCCTCCGTTAACTTCTGAGCTGCAGCCTCAGGTTCTTCTTCTGTTCGTGCAATTGACACAGCATCCTGATTACATTGTTGCATGAAAGCGTCAGCAGATAGTAACGCTAAAACAAATCTAAGAAAACCTATCTTTGATTTTCTTTTATGGACTGCACTGCCCTTCAATCAATACTGTACAATCACAGTACAAAGGAATGTCGCAGGTTTTCCTCTGACAACAGAAATAATCAGAATAGCTTATAGATATGCCATTAACTCTGTCTGGCAACATGTTTAAATCCACATGCATCAGCAGAAATACATTGAATTCGATAGTGGATTTTGAATTTTTAATTTGGATATCAAAATTGTTTTGAGGATTTGAAATTCAAGAGTAGTGAACAAATGGTGCCAGTATTCCAGTCCTTCCATCTGATGTTTCTTAGTAATTTAATTAACTGTATGACTTATCAAATGGTGGGCCTTATATTATATTTGGTGCTGGTATGATGAGATTAGGATGTTATTGTAATCACTAGGCATCTTCCAATAGCTGCCTTTTGTAGACCCTAGTGCTTCCCAGCTGCTTTCTCTAGACCTTGATAACTGGAGTTTTGGGCTCCTTTTTGATGTCTTGCCTAGAAAAATTACTAGGATTCTTCCCCTATAAAAACCATGTACTTTACCCCTAAGGTTTTTTTTATGCATTTCAACATTTCGAAAGTGATTTTTTACGTTACGGGCATTTTATGTACTACTTCAAATATATATGTACCTGATGGAAGAATTTTGTGCACGGGTAATTTTAACTAATTTGATTATTCGGATTGCATCTTTGCAGGTGGTTGCAGGTATGACCGGTAAAAAACAAAGGGTAGTATGGATATTAGAAGTAAGCAATGATTTGTCTTATCCTGCCTCCATTCCCCTTCCCCTCTTACTCTGATTAGAGATTGGAATAAGATTTTTTTATCATGTGAGAACAAAGAATTATTGTTGCTACTGGTTATTCACCTTTATTTTTGCTTGTGGATTTTAATGCTGTTAAAACATGTGGTTTCTCATGCTAATCGGAATTGGATGAGCTCCATAAGAAGCTTAGTTCTGCATGTTTGGTTGTCTTTACTTGATTGCATTTTTATGTCTTCTCACAATGATGTTCCCAGTCCTTTAAAGGCCTCGTGTTAGATCTTAAATCTTTAGTTCATCATTTGGGCTTTGAAATGCTTGTGCTTCATTGACACGCCTTTTATAAGTTCTATTAGTAGTATTGTATACTGGAAGTGTTTTGACAGATATTACCCCAACTGGAATATGATGAAAAAAAGTTTCACATATTAAAAGTAACTGTTTAATTGTGACATTTTTTGTTTTTATTTTGTTCAAGCTTTAATATTTGAAGAAAATAGGAAGATTATCTAGAGGTTAGCTGTGGGTTTGATTTGTCTAATTTGTTTGATAAACAGCTGGATAGGTAAAAGGGCTTTAATGTTTCACAATTTGTTTATTTATTTATTTATTTTTATTTTTATTTTTAATTTTTTGCGACGGTAACAAGATGGTCGCCAAAGATCATGTTAGTATTTTTCTTTGTTTTTTGCGACGGCAAAATAGGGGTCGCCATAAGTAGTTTAGGTGGTCGCAAATAATTTGCGACCGTTGCTTTGCCGTCGCAAAAAGTATTTTCCACCCCCATATTCGCGACCCCCATTTGCCGTCGCATGGGCCGTCGCAAAAAGTCTTTTGCGACTGTTTTTTATTATTTGCGACAGTTTATGGCGGTCGCAAAAAGTATTTTTTTTAGTAGTGAGCTTTGACCCCTTGTCTTGGCTTCCTCAAGAATCTTGCACCCATGCCTTAGCTTCCTTGATAAGCCTTGACCCCCCTTGCCCCCCTTTGACCCTTTCTCTTAAGCTTGTCTTATAAACTTCAAGCCACTTGGCTTGTCTATATAAGAACCTCTCCTCCTCCATTGTTAAGGGTTGAACAAAAAACCAGAGATATACATATATATCTGATAGATACACCCTTCTTCCTCTATAGTTCTCTTCTCTAAAGCTCAAAAGTCCATTACTCTTGGCCCTTTACACACCATCTCACAACCACACACTTCCACCATTGCTTGGAGGTTCTTGGAGATCATTTTCAGAGGCTAAGGGACTGATTTTTGGGACCAAAAGCTGCTGCATTGCTGTGCTACAAGGGTAAGTCCTCTTCTCTCTCTTTGAAGCTCTATCTTGCATGATATCTTAGTCTTACTTGCAAACATTTCTGGGCTCTGACCCAAACTGTAAAGTGCCATGTTTTGAGTCCCTCTTCAACTTTGTTGAAGGACTCTTTTCTGTTTGAGGCCAACAGCTATCACTTGCCTCTTTAACTCTCTTTTAGGTCTACTTGTGAGCTGTTTTGGACCTTGCCATAAACTGTGAAATATCTTGTTTTGAGCCCCTCTTCAACATTGTTGAAGGGCTCTCCTCTTTTTGAGAACAGCAGCTACCACTTGTCTCTTTAACCCTCTTTTAGGCCTTTTCTTGCATGATAGTTTGGCCTTATTTGTGATTATTTTCGTGGCTTGATGTAAATTGTAAAGTGCCTTGTTTTGAGCCCCTCTTCAATTTTGTTGAAGGGATCTTTTTCATTTGGGGCCAGCTGCTGTCCCTTTGTGTTTAACCTCTCCTTTAGGGCCATTTTTGCATGATAGATTAGCCCTATTTTTGTTCATTTTTGAGGCTTGTCATAAACTGAAAATATGCATGTTTTGGGACTGTCTTGCATCTGTCTTCATGCTTCATGATAAAATAATGCATGTTTTGTATAGTTATAGGCCAATGCGTATGCCTAGTTTTGTGTTTCGGGGCCATTCCATGCATCGAGTGCCATGTTTCCATGTTTCGGGATCATTTTGCATCACATTTCAGTGCTGAAACTTGCATGTTTGTATGCCATATTTCGTGCCTTGCCATGCCTTGTTAGAGTGGCATTTGTATCTTAGGATCGGTCCTCGGTTTGCGTGCATGTGTGCACGCATTTTGAGTGTCTCATTTTCATCTCATGGCCACTGATGTGAGTGTGGCTGAGGTCCACTCACATTGGTATAAGTCCATCCTGCATTGTGTGCGCCATGTAGTTGTATTGCATGTTTGTATGTTTGCTTGCATGCTTAGGTCGCATGTGCATCGTTGTGCATTGCCTCGCCTCTTGATCAACCATGATTGAGGTTGGGCCCCTTGTATGTTTTGTGTGTATTGCATTTGACATTTAAATGCATACTTGACTCTTCGGCCATCATGCATCGAAATGCGCAATTGGTGGCCCGAGGGTCGAGGACCATGCTCCCTTGAGTCCATTGCATGATAGGGGGTGTGGCCATGCATACATTTGCCTGAAAATTCCATGCCATACACTGCTTGCCCTCTGCTGCTGTCAATTGCAGGTTCTGCAGGAAGCTTTGGCCGGTCGGCTAAATATAGTGCCGACCGGCCAGTAATCTGTGGCTGATAGGTTAAAAGGCGGCCGGTGATCATTATATTAGGCCGATGGTGTTCCTACTTGGACGGTGGTATTTCCCAACATCCAGAGAGCATGCCCTCGGACTTTGGCAGTCCTCAGAAGGGCAAGGCAGTGTAAATAGAGGCAACAGTGGCATGGTACGGATTTTCGAGCAAGACAAGTCAAGCATGCATCATCCACGCATTTCGAGGCGGGGCCTGTGGCCATTTTGATTCTGCGTTTAATTTGTTAATTAATTAGAAATTCTGTAATAATTAATTTAGTGTTATTTATTCAGAATGTAATATTTATTTGGACCCTCCGAGCGAGGGCAATTGTGTAATAAGTGTGCGTGAGTGTGTGTATGTCTTCCAGCCCCACGTCTTTCTTCCCTTTTATTTACCCGCTTATGATGG